GCGGGCTGGGGACTTTATCACAAAACAGTACTAGTCCCCACATACTAAGCGCCTACTACGTGGCAGGCACCGGGCTGGGGGCTTCATCGGGTAACAGTACTAGTCCCCACATAATGAGTACCTACTACGTGCCAGGCACCGGGCTGGGGGCTTCATCAGATAACAGGACTAGTCCCCACATACTAAGCACCTACTACGTGCCAGGCACCGGGCTGGGGACTTCATCAGATGACAGTACTAGTCCCCACATAATGAGCACCTACTATGTGCCAGGCATTGGGCTCGGGACTTTATCAGATAACAATATTAGTCCCCACATAATGAGTACCTACTACGTGCCAAGCACTGGGCTGGAGGCTTTACTGAAAAGCACAGCAAGAGTTCCTAGCTACTAAACACCTACGATGTATAAGGCACTGTATTCCGGGCCTTGTAGAACATGAATAGTTCTCACTTCTTAAGCACCTACTGTGTGCCAAGTGCTGTGCTAAGGGCCTTATACATAAATCGGAGCAGTTTTTCCTTCTCGAGCACCTCCTGTGTGCACACAGTGTCAAAGGTTCTGCAGGTAACGACTTCACGTTTTGAGCAGAACCTGCAGACCCCAAACCCCATGCTAGGTCCTGTCAGACTGACAACGGTTCCTATCTGAGCATATGCGCCCAGAGCAAGGCCAGCCTCTTTGAAGAAAACGCCACTTATCGAGCACTTACTGTATGCCAGGCATTCTCCAGGGGCTTCACGGAACAACGATCATAGGCCCCGTGTCTGGGGTTCCTACTGTGCAGGGGACACCAGGGTAAGCTTGTTGCAAATGACTAGCAGCTTCCATCTGGTGAGTGCCAATTAGGGGCCTCGCACCACGCCGATCTGTGTTTAGGTTTAAGAGAGTACTTATGAAGCACCTATTGTGTGCCAGGCAGCGTGCTAAGGGCTTTGCTAAGTAACAGTGATAGTTCCCACATATTAAGCACCTACTGTGTGTGTTACAGGCTTTCTGGAATAACACTAAGTCCCCACCTGTGGCATATCTGCTACGAGACTGGGCTTAAGGCTGTTACTGACGTTGGACCTCACGGTCCTTGCGTCTTCTGGACACCGCACACCCTAAGCCCTTTATGCTCAAAATGTGCCCCCCTGATTAGCCATTCAATTCTCAAGACACTAAGTGGCTGGAGCGATCACCCCTCCAGCCTCAGGCCATGCTCCAGGTGGGGAAACGGGTGTCAAAGCCCATCTGCCTGCTTTTCTATAATCACTTTTTTAACTCCTGGCTGCCAGACCCCACCTACCCGGGGTGCCTTTCACAGATCACCTCCCACTTTACAGATGAGCAAACTGAGGCCCCAAACAAGCAGGCTGCCTTCCCAAGGGCATGTGGCGAGAGCCGGTATTTGAACCGGGGCTCGGCTGTTGTCCAGGGGCTGTCTTGACTTGAGGACGGGGATTCGGACCTCAGCCTGTGTCCTTATCCACTCAGGCGAGTTGAGGACGGCTGGAGCCACCCTACCTCAACTGCCCATGACTCCAGAATTCTCCTTGCCTAGAGGGAGGTCCAGAGAGGTCACTGGCTTTGCTTCACGGCAAGGCATATAGAACCCTACCATCATGGCAACCCTATCTGTTCACTGACCACGTGTTTACAGGGTACTCGTGACGTGCACACCCCGTGGTGGGGCTACCCAGTGATGAGAGACGTCCTCAAAGACATCAGGCTACGAGACGTCTCAGACGCCACTCCAGAGTCAACTAAAATGACCCTCTGGGCCCACTTAAAGTGAAATACCGGGATTCCTTCCTCTGATATCAGATACTTGGGGCCCTCTCCCCCATTTCTTGACCAGCCACCCCAACCAAAAGTGCCTGGGGGAATCAGGCAGGAGTGGAAAAACCAACCAAGGGATGTGCCGGAAGGAATGGATTCGCTGAGAAAGGGGGGGAGGAAAAATAAAACCAAAACCATAACAAAATAAGAAACAACGGTGATGGTGATGATGATGAGAAAAACCATAATAAAAGAAAGAAAGACGCCTTCCAGAAAAAACTCCCAGTCTGGTTACCTACCTTCCGCTCTTCAACTGCTAACTTATAAGACTTTCTTACGAGGGAGGGAGTGGCGGAGTGCCGAGCTACAAGGCCAGACCGAGCTCTGGGTGGGTCTCCTGACGCAAGCAGGCCCCCAGTGTGGGCACGCTGTGGTTCCGGACTGGCGCCGACGAGGCGGGAAGGTGAGACGGTGTGGGGAGACCCACGGCTGAGCGGTCTGGCCTCCACCTACCCTTGAGTTCAGCCTAAGAAGCCCGCAGTCCCCGGGGGGGACATGCCTGGCCCTGAGTCTCGCTGTCAGCTCTCTCGGGCCCCACCCGCCTCGGGGGGAGAAGTGGGGAGCCCCTTCTCCCCCGCTCCCTGTCCTGGGCCGCCCCAGAGTTTCGCGTGGCTGGGCCAAAGCCGCTTTCCTGACGACCAGGGAGGCCGCCTCCTTCACAATCCGGCCCAACCTGCGTGACGTCTTGGGGGGGCGGGGGTGACGCACCCACAGACAGGCTCCGGTGGGAGGTAGCTCCCAGGCCCCCATTTCCGGGGCAGGTGTGGCTCTCGGCCGTGGGGTGGAAAATTTGGGGGGGGGGGACCGTGGACCCTGTGCAGCCCAGAGCTGCTGGGGTATGCGGGGCACAGGCCGGGGGGCACGCAGGGTGGGCCGTTTTTGTGAACCTGCTTGAGACCAGCGCGTACTCACCTTCGTGGCACCTGTGCCGGTCTCTCACGTGGCCGCCCAAGCCACAGGACACCCTCACTGATCGCCTCACGCACAAACACGCCCAGACGCCTGTGAGCTGCGGAGCTCTCGGCTCGGCACGCGGGAGGGGGGAGGAGGGAAGGGGGCCAGGGAGGGGAGGGGGGCAGGGGTGCCGCGTCTCCGAGGCCCCTGGTCCGCAGCGGCTCGGACCCCCAGGCCCAAGCTGCCGTCACCCGCGACTGACCCGTGACCCCCTGTGTGCACACACCCGGGGGAGGGGACTGGAAGGTCTGGACACCGAGGCTGCTTCCGGAACAAGGCCTGGGGTGCTGCTCTGCGACTGACTGAGAAGGGGGAGGGGAGGGGAG